GGGAGAGGTCTGGGTTTCTGTGGTTATTTCACTTGCCTTTGTGATCAAAATGTGCCCAGACTGGAGAAAGTGAACCTGTAGGTTGGAGTTTTATTGCTCTTCCTCTTTTCACACACAAACACCCGGGGCTAACTCCAGTTCTCAGGTATATCAGTGTAAGTTGGAGGTTGGGATCATGTGCCTTTGAAATCTTGGTCCCATTTATTGTACAGGTGGTCACACTGATCTAATCATGAAAAGCTCTGAGCATCTGTAATCACCATTGACTTAACAGAAGTTATAGATGTTCAGCATCTCACAGAATGAGATCCTAAATTGTGAAAAAATATCAACAATTTTCTAGCTCTTTCATAGTTAGATATTTGGGGATCAATCCTGCAAGGTGCTGAAGACTGTAGGATTTGAGGCTCAAATAGATAAAGAACAAGTTAAGAATAATTTAAACAAGCAAGATGTCTTCAGGTTGGCAGGGCCTGATGAAATACCTCCCAGAATACTTAAGGGACTGACTGAAGAGATCTCTGAGTCATTAGTGATTATCTTTGAGAATTTATGAAGGACAGGAGAGATCCTAGAGGACTGGAAAGGGGCAAATATAGCACCTATCTATAAAAAAGGGAATAAGGACAACCCAGGGAATTATAGACCAGTCAGCTTAACTTCGGTATCTGGAAAGATAATGGAGCAAACAATCAATTTGTAGGCATGTAGAAGAAAATAAGAAACAGTCAGCATGTATTAAGAACAAATCATGTCAAACCAACTTAAAATCCTTCTTTGACAGGGTAACAACCTTGTGGATAAGGGGAAAGCAGTAGATGTGATGTATCTCAACTTTAGTAAGGCTTTTGATTCTGTCTCACATGACCGTCTCATAAACAAATTAGGGAAATATAGTCTAGTTAAATTTACTATAAGGTGAGTGCGCATCTGGTTGGAAAAGTTTACTTAGAGCAGTTATCAATGGTTCACAATCAAGCAGGAAGGGCATATCAAATGGGGTCTCGCAGGGATCTATCCTGGGTCTGGGTCTATTCCATATCTTCATAAATTATTTGAATAATGGCATAGAGAGTACACTCATAAAGTGTACAATACCAAGCTGGGAGGGGTTGAAAGCTCGTTGAAGGACCAGATTAAGCAATGGGACAAATTACCTAGGGACATTGTGGACTCTCAGTCATTGGAGATTTTTAAGAACTGGTTAGACGAATGCTTGTCAGGGATGGTCTAGATAATCCTTAGTCTTGCCTTGGTGCAAGGGACTGTACTAGATGACCTATCGAGGTCCTTAGCAGTTTTACATATCTATGATTCTATGATCCAGTAATGCAGTTCCAGTAGTGGGACTACACATATGCTTAAAGTTAAGCATGTGCTTAATGCTTTGCTGGATCAAACTGATGCTCAGCATTTTCCATGATCAAGTTCTCAGTGTCAAAATTACTAAAGGAGGAAATCTGTGAAACACTTGGATTGACTATTTTATGCCTGTTCACTGGTCATGAGAAATATTTTTTCTGCCTTAGCACTGCTGACTCTGGGGGTTAGGGGGAGATTTCAAAAACACCTAAATGACTTGTACTTCTAAAGCACTTAGGTGCTTTTGAAAATCCTGCCCTGAATTAATACTATTCATAACACTTTCTTAGCGCTGAAACAGATCAACATACGTGTGAGCTTTTTGCTGTTTGAAATGTTTCCAAACCAATTAATTGGGCATATTGTTTGCTCCAGTACTTCCCCCTTGCTGGCCTGATGAAATATATGTGCCAAAGGTTAAGTGGGGGGTCTCTCTCTCTTCCAACTGACTTCCTCTCTGTAAACGCATTTCCTGTAGGAATTGGTAGCCTGCCTGCTAATTAACATACATAATACAAACAGGGTTACAAAATGCTTTTTTCTCTCTGCCAGCCTCCTAAAAACATATATTATTTTTGCTGAGAATTAAAAGGAGATTACTGTTTATTTAGTTTCACAAATGAAAAAGAAGGCCTGGATCCTATACCGTTCTTATATAGATGGAATAGATTGGTGTAAATTGGGTAAAATGGAGCGATCTCGATCTACACCAAATGAGGATCTGACCCAGAGTATTCTTGATTCTTTGCCTGATATTTGCCTTGAAATCAGGCCCTTCATTTAAACATCTCCCCAGGTTCTTGTATACATTATATTCACCTTTCAATGTTTATAAGAATTTTGTGTTTGGGAACCTCTGCTTTACATAATGCATCTATATATTGTATTTTCTCAAACCTTCCTAAAGTAGTCAAGCTTTTTCCACAGCTCTGCTTAACAACTGTCACCTTTGGCCCAATCCTGCGAGGTGTTGAGCATCACCTGCAAAGTGCTGTGTGCCCTGAATTCCACTGATTTCATTGGAAGCTAGAAATATTCAGCACTTTGCAAGCCGGGCCACTTTATTACTAGTACTCTGTCTTCATTGTTTATCTTTGGCTCTGTGGGTTTCTAATGCAAAATAAATGACATTTAATGCTAATGCTAGTTTACTACTGAAACCATTTCTGGAGCCATATTACACCAGCAAATACACAGGATGTTCATCTACACGTCTGGGAAAGGTCCATGATTTATTTAATATGTAATGAGAGGCTCATTTAGCAGGTCTCCACAGCAGTGCTGAGCCTTGGTATCAGAACATCATTACGTCCAGATTCTGGCTAAAGCAGCAACCCGCACATGGGATTGAGATTAGTTGTGGCACTGGAAAAACAAAAGAACAAAACTGGACTGTATGTATCTTTTCAGAGGCAAATTCACAATTGAGCTAAGGACAGACTTGGCAGTCACAGGATTTCTGAGACTACAGTAACTGTGCCAGTTTATATTTCCCATCAGAAAGAACTAGGGAGAATTTTGCCTAAACAAAACATGAAGAGCAAATGTCTTTACAAGTGACTTCAACCAAACTTGATCTCTTTTCGACAAGAGCTAGAAATGCTGGAGGGGTGGTGTGCAGATCTGCAGGGGAGGGGACATCTTGTATCACTGTTATGCACCCACATGTCTTGCCTGTAGTCAGAGCAACATTGACTAATTACTGAGAGATCCCCCAACACTCTAGGCTCTGTTTAGATTACGGGCTGGGAGTGGTAGGGGAGTGACAGTAAAATGAGATGGGAGAAGGCCAGTTGTTCCTAAAAATGGCTTCAACAGCATTTAAGGGAGTTAGCCAACCAACCCCAATTAAAGGTTGATAGGAGTTGAGTGTCAGACTCTCTTGGGCACTTTGAAATACTGTAGGTTGGGATTTTCAAGAGAGATGATGAAAATGTTGTGAGGCATAAAATACGGAGCTAGGAAATAACAGGCTTCTATTTTGGTTGTGTGCAATTTGCAAATGCAGAGGGAAACAAATAAGAAAGAACTGAATTGTTCTCTTATAGGTTTGCCAGCCTGTCCCTGTTGAGCGAGCACCATATGGAGAAGTGGGCTCAGTCCAGTCCAGCAGGGGTGGAAAATAGACGTATCCCTAAAGTGTGGCTCTCCCAGGTAACTTTCCTACTTTCCTTTCTGCACCTTTCTGAAAATATGCAGAACAAATATTGCAACTCCTCTTGTATGTGACAGGTTCATGTGGGCTGAACACTCCTGGAGAGAGGGTGCCCTGTATCTTTAATTTTGATGAAAACATATGGCAGTTCTATAGTCCATGTTTGGGAGACCTTTGCTGATGAAAGCTTCAAACAGAGGAAATCCTATGGGATAACTGAGCTGGAGCCTGGATGAATTAAGTGCTTGAATGAAACTTGAATCTGAGGAACAATGAAAAAGTTGAGCTAAGTTCATTGCTGAGATAACACACGCCTTTTTAAGGAGCTATGTCTGAGGCCATGTCTACACTTAACGGGGATTGACGCTGCTGCGATCGATGCAGCAGGGTCAATTTAGTGGATCTCCGCAGAGCGCTCTCCGGTCGACTCCGGTATTCCACCAGAACGAGAGCGTCTCCCATTGATGCAGCGCAGTGTAGGCACTGCAGTAAGTTGACCTAAGTTACGTCAATTCCAGCGACGTTATTCAAGTAGCATAACTTAGGTCGACTTACCCCGGTAGTGTAAAAAAGGTCTGAGATAGCAAAAGGAGCAGTAACAAAATCTGAACACAGAATGGCTTAAAATCCAACTCAGAATTTTACAGAAACTTTTGAAATAACCCAATGTTTTTTTAGTGAAATGAGCTTTAAAAAAAAAAAAAGGATGTTACCAGTCCCCCTGTTTCATAGTCAATACACTTGCCAAGGGCTATAATGTTTCTGGCAAGCACATAAACCTCTGTCAGAAGAGACAGATGAGCACCATGTCAGAGACATTTTAGTTGACTCAGAAGATACAAGACGGAAGAAAGGAGTTAACATCGGCTGACTGACTATGATGATAAGGCAGTGCAGCCCTAATGACAGAGCAGGAATCTTCTCTATCCCCAGTTCTGCTTCTTACTCACGGTGTGACTTAGTGCAAGTCATTTAACTTGTCTGTTTCAGTTTCCCCATATATTCAAAAGGCATAAGAAGGCCCTACCTACCTAATGGGTATGTTTGTGTATAAAATGCTTTGGTGAGTGAAGACACTGTGTAATTGCCCAGTATTAATTATGGTGATATACATTTCATACTTTTTAGTAAGCATGCTAAGTAGACACACTTGTACAATGTGCATTAGTAAAGTGAGTTGCATTAACCAACTTACCACACCTTAGTATCTGAGGGCTGGTCCACACTAACCCCCCAGTTCGAACTAAGATATGCAACTTCAGCTACGTGAATAACGTAGCTGAAGTCTAAGTATCTTAGTTCGAACTACAAGGTACTTACTGCGGGTCCACACACGGCAGGCAGGCTCCCCCATCGACTCTGTGTACTCCTCTCACGGAGCAGGAGTACCGGTGTCGATGGCGAGCACTTCCCGGATCGATTTATCGCGTCTAGACAAGACGCGATAAATCGATCCCAGAAGATCGATTGCTTACCGCCGAACCCGGAGGTAAGTACAGACGTACCCTAAGTTACAATTCTTTTTGTTATTCCCTATTCTAAACAGAGCAATGCAGGTTTATTTCAGATACCGCTTGTGGCAACTGTTGGTAAATGTTAGTTTTTTGGTGGTGACTACTACAGCACTACTTCAGCACCTTTGCCTCAAGGAAGATGGGCTCCACTAGAAGGGTATTGATCACATATTTTCTTTCCTACAGAAAAATGGCATTAATTGTTTAAGAAGCAGAAGGGATCAACTCAGAAAGAAATTTTTAAAAAGTTATAGTTTCGCTAAACAGTAACAGGGGGGCAAAATGACCGCAAACAACAAGTATGTGAAAGGTGTATGCCCCGTGGCAGGGGAATAATTGAAGATGGGCCAGGCACATAGGAGTCATCAGATGAAAGTAAGCAAAGGAAAACTTAGGCTGAAGACTGGGGGAGAAATTTGCTAATAGTGAGGTCTGTTAGCCTGTGGAACAGTATCCCAAGGGACAGGGAACAAGCTCCATTACTTGCCTCACGTAAAACGCAGCTATAGAAGGCACTAATGAATAAATATACTGCTGGGAACAAACCTGCAATGGCAGGATTATGGACTTATCTTTTCTATCTTTAATTTCTATGGTTCTGTGAACGTCTCCAGCAGCGTGAAGCTTCATCCAGAGCAACAATGAACAGCATGTTATTTGTTTTCCTCTGTCATAAGGGAGAGAACTCTTGTAACAGAGAGCAACAAAGGCTAAAGCTGCAACAGAACAAGGGAGCTGTAATAGTTCTTTCCAGTTCTTAGTGCTCTCCCTCTGTTATTACCACTTTGGGAGACAAATGGCAAAGTAGCGAGTCTGTCTTTTGAAAGATTATATCATATTGTGTTCCTTGTTTCTCTGTAGATAAAGCCAGATGAAAATTATCCTGCTTGCCCCATCTAAGCAATGCATTCTGGTGCCCGTCGTGAGCAAGTCCAGCATCAACTTTTGAAGAGCCAAAATTTACCAGCTGCAAAAATAGGCACTACAGATCTTAATATGCTTTAATGAGTGAATGTTGTCATTCTAGTAATTGCTTTAAAGGACTTTAGTTAATTGAACCAAACATATATAACAGCAGAGTAACACAAAAAAGCAAAGCTATGTTAACGCGACGGCTACTCTGCAAAGTCTTACTCTGACTGCTGGGATGGTATTTCTTCACATTTTACTTTTTAAAAACATCACGTAGTCTAGCAAAATAATAAGGCAATACATTTCTTTCTAGGGCTTAAACACAAGTTTTCTTTATTCTTGCCCCATAAAGCCACCATAGATTAAGTCTAATTCTCTTGCTTCACATGGTAGAGAGGAGTTCTGTGTTCACGAATTCACAGATTAAAGCCATCAAGGGACCATTATAATTGTCCGGTCTGACCTTCTGCACAACACAAGCCACAAATTTCACCCAGTAGCTCCTGAATCTAGTTCAACGGCTTGTGGTTGAATTACAGCATATCTTTTGGAGAGACACCCAGTCTTGCTATCAAGTGCTGTACTTGGTTCCTCCTTCCTGGAAGAAATTAAATGCTGCCAGAGATCATTCTGATCTGGTAGTGCTACCACTGTGCCAAAAGTGGATGGTGGCCCTCCTGGAGCTCTATTCCAACCAGTCTGGTCAGGTGCTTCTTTTATCCCCTCTCACAGGCTAATCTAGGCGGTGGGAAAACTGGTGGTGATTCTACAAATTTTCCAGCATTACCCAGCTGCACTAGCTCTGCACAATGACGCACACTATGCATAGAGAAGCATGGATACAGGATGCAATAAAAGTTTAACAGGGCAACTTGGCCCAGAGTATATTAGCAATAACTAGAGCTGATTTTTAAAAAAGCTTCAAAGTTTAATTTTTTTGCAATACTACAATTTTGCAGGTTTGAAACAGACCTATTTTTCAATGGTTTTTTTATTCAAAATCATTGTTGAATTTTCTTATGGACCAAAAACTGGGTTTTTGACAAAGGAAATGTTAACAAAAGTCAGTGTTTCCTGGAGTCTGTTTCTTTAATAATAAAAAAAAAGATGAAAAACTTCTCATTTGTTAAATTTCAGCCTGTTTTTTTCTTTGGGAGGTAACTATGTTCCTAGAAGGACTATGTTACTGCTAATATCATGGTTCTATCACTGTGTGTGTATTCTGTTCCTATGTAAGCAGCCAAAAGCAGGGCCTTTGCTACACATCAACCCTGTTTTGTGTGATTTTTTTTTTTTTAACAGAATGTTCCCCTGTATTGTCCCTTATTTGACAGCAGTTGCTGGGAAAGCATGTCCTGCAGAAAGCTGGGGAGAGTGCTGAACCCAGAAAACCTTCTGTCATGCATGGAGCCATTGGGTCCCGACTTTGAAGGGTTAGGGAGCTCCCAGTCCTATGTGTGGGACCAATAGAAGCTTTCATGAGGTGCGGGAAGATTTTTCTCCCCATCCTGCTTCCATGTATGGACCAAGCAGGAGAGGAAGTCAGCTCAGAGGTGATTTGCCACCCATCTATGAATACTGCAGCTTTAATAGAGGTACAGAAGAGGCATGGTAGGGGCTGTGGTGCTAGATCTGACAGCTAAGAATCATGGCTTCTGCTATAAAAACAGTCCCAGAGTCACTTAGTATGAAAATAAGCTCCTGCTAGGCCAATCAAGTCCTATGCCTGTGGATAGCAATGTAGAGATCTCTCAGCAGGGTGGTCAATAGGGACATTCAGGAGGAACTAAGATGGATTCCCACTACTCAGATTAGTTTTGAGATGGCAGAGGCAGCAGGGCAATTTATTCATACAGTATTGCTGAAATGTTTGTTATAACTCTCCTCATTTCTGATGAGTGGAAACTTCAAGCATGCGTGGAACCTGCAGATTCTTGCAATCTGTCCCACTGTGTGGCTCCTGCTGTCAGTCACAGAGCCTCTGCATTTTCTTAACATTTTTTACTATTTGTGTGGGGGGGAGGGGGGAACAGAAGTGTGGAAAGAGGGATGGGGATAGCAGAAGATAAATGTTTGCATGTAAAAATAGTAATCTGCATTGATAGGCTGCCTTTCATCCAAGGGTCTAAAAGCCTCATACCACATACCTGTGAGGCAGGTAGATCTCATTACACTGATTGTATGGTTCTGGGATCTGTGAATGTTCAACACCTCTGCACATCAGGCCACTGTCTTAGCTAATTAAATAAAGATGTTGATCTCAAGTTTGAAAGTGTTGGCCTCAGTGACTTGCCCAAGGTGACAAGTCAAACAGTGACTTTGTGAAAATTAAAACTAGAACCTGGGAGTCAAGACTGTCAATCAGCTGGATAGCATAAGTATGCCCAGAATTTTCAAACATCCTTTGGGCTCAAGAGTTGTCTGAGGGCGGCCCTGCTGAGTTCAGAAGGCTGCAAATCATTACAGGAATTGTTAGTGATTTTTCCAAAAGCAGCTGTTTTCACAGTGTGATACAGACAGTAGCTTTATGAGTTATATAAAAAATGTATGTAAACTGAGCTTTCTAGACCATGAAAGTATATTATCAGTGAAAAATATATATTCTTTGTAGGCTCCCTGCACATATTTTTATGGCAGAAAAAATAAGGAACCTACATTTCATATCTCTACCACAAAACTTGCCATTTCTATTTGGATTTCTTCAGCTTTATGCCAGAGTTTGTACTCCTTACAGGAGGAGTCCTTGGGTTATTGGTCATTAATGAAGGGATGATATTTCTACTAATTGATACGTTTTAAATGTAATTAGCTTTTTAACTAATGTATAGAATCATAGAATCATAGAATATCAGAGTTGGAAGGGACCTCAAGAGGTCATCTAGTCCAACCCCCTGCTCAAAGCAGGACCAATTCCCAGCTAAATCATCCCAGCCAGGGCTTTGTCAAGCCGGGCCTTAAAAACCTCCAAGGAAGGAGACTCCACCACTGATTTCATGAATACCAAACTGTGCTTTTATTCACAGACTGTAACTGGGTTTTGCCCCATGTATGATTTTAGCTACAAGAAAATTTATGATTTACTACAACAGATAGTTAGGTCATCTCATTTGCTATGCTAAATGGTCATTTTCTCATTGCAAATACAGACACTAGGGCCCTAATAATAGAATTTTAGAAATTAGGGCTGGAAGGGACCTTGAGAGGTCATCTAGTTCAGCCCCCTGCATTGAGGAATGACCAAGTAAACCTAGACCGTCCCTGACAGGTGTTTTTTAAGAACAGATTAGATAACCTCCAAGGACTGGGATGCCACAACCTCCCTTAGAAGCCTATTCCAGTGTTTAACTAACCTTAGAGCTATTGGGAAAAGCTTTTTATCAAACCTAAATCTCCCTTGCTGCAGATTAATCACATTACTTCTTGTCCTACCTTCAGTGGCCATGAAGAACAATCAATGACTGTCTCCTTTATATCAGACCATAACATATTTGTTATCAGGTTACTTTTCAGTCTTTTTTTTTTTCCCCAAGACTAAACATGCCCAGTTTTTTTACTTTCCTCATAGGTCATTTCTGTTGCTCTTCTTTGGACTCTCTTTTTCCAGTTTGTCCACATCTTCCTTAAAGGACACATTACTCCAGCTGAGGCCTCACCAGTGCCAAGTAGAGCAGGACAATTACCCCCCAGGTTTACATACAACACTCTGGTTAATATACCCTAGAATATTAGCCTTTTTGGCAGCTGCATCACATTGTTGGCTCACACTCAATTTGTGATCCACTATAACTCCCTGAACTTTTTCAGCGATATTACAGCCTAGTCAGTTATTTCCCCATTTTGTAGTTGTTCATTTGATTTTTCCTTCATAAGTGTAGTACTTTGTATGTCTTTACTGAATTTAATCTTGATGATTTAAGATCAATTCTTCAAAGTCATCGTTAATTCTAATCCTGACCTCCAAAGTGCTTGCAGCCTCTCCCAGCTTGGTGTCATCCACAAATTTTATAAGCCTACTTTCCACTCTATTATCCAAGTCATTAATAAAAATATTGACTAGTATTGGAACCAGGACAATCTCCTGTGGGACCCCACTAAATACGTCCTTGCCATTTGACAGCAAACCATTGATAACTACTCTCGGAGTGAAGTATCAGGGGGTAGCCGTGTTAGTCTGTATCTACAAAAACAACAAGGAGTCTGGTGGCACCTTAAAGACTAACAGATTTATTTGGGCATAAGCTTTCGTGAGTAAAAACCTCACTTCTTCAGATGCGTAGAGTGAAAGTTACAGATGCAGGCATTATATACTGACACATGGAGAGCAGGGAGTTACTTCACAAGTGGAGAACCAGTGTTGACAGGGCCAATTCAATCAGGGTGGATGTAGTCCACTCCCAATAATAGATGAGGAGGTGTCAATTCCAGGAGAGGAAAAGCTGCTTCTGTAGTGAGCCAGCCACTCCCAGTCCCTATTCAAGCCCAGACTTAAAGGTGTTGAATTTGCAAATGGAGTGGACTACATCCACCCTGATTGAATTGGCCCTGTCAACAC